TCACACACATCCCTGAGAAAGAATCTTAAATGTTAGTGTGCAAGGTTTCCACCTGTGAAGACTTACTGTGTATTTTAATTCTTGTCTTATAATAGAATTTATTTTTTTCATCATAATTATACATTATCTTGCCTTAATAACTTTTGGAACAAATGGATGTGAGTAAATAAAGTAAATCAATGAAGTCCACATGTAAAATTTTGTATCTCTTGCTCTTCAAATAATATTTTTGACAAGTTATCATCCATCTGTGAAGTTGTGGACTCTTTGTATTCCTTTGGGAAATGGCATGAGGCCTTCTTGAGTGTTAGATTATGCATTTGAATCTCTGATTTAGTGGAACAGTGTATAAAAATCTCTCATAATCAGAATACTCCCTATTGGCTCCACATCTGAAGATCCCCAAGAGTGCTGTTTGTTCCAGCAAACATCTGCAATAGATTACATGCAGTTAATTGGCTCCAGGTTGAGCTTGTTACAGACAGTAGCATGCAGTATTACCTATGCAATTCACTAAATCCACCCACTTCAGGTTAAATCACACCTACTTCTCTCTATAATTCCTCCCAGATGCAGTACACACATGTATGCATACACAACACACACAAAGACACACACTTATATGCATCCTGGGTAATAGTAAAATATCAATAGACTAGTGGAGGGTTGTTGCCAATATGTTTAACCCATAAATAATCTCAATTAAAAGATTAGCTATTCAAAGGATTGTTGGGAAGACAAATAAAGATCTGGGAGCAGCAGATTATAGAAAACTATTTCACAGTAAGAAAATGCTTAAACTTTAAAATAAAGTTGCAGCAAGTTAAGGATTTTGTTTGATTTTGTCCTCCATGCTTAGCAAACCTACCAGCCCTTGTAGGCACCTCTCAGAATGCCGTAGTAGCACGGAAAGCAGTGCTTTGTTTTTTATCTTACTTAACAATATTAGTGAGTTGGGTTACAAGGAACAGTATGACTACTGTTCATTGAAAACTAAGGCATCAATCTTCTTAACTTATAGTGTTGGAGGCACAGGGCATGTCTTAGCGATTAATGACCAGTTGGAGGAGTAGATATCTCAATATACAGCAAGGGCCATTAACCCCAACTGATCGTTAATTCCCAGGAAAGGTCCTGGACTGAGGTCATTATTCCTAATAAAATGTGCACATAGGAAGTTTCCTCTCTTTTGCCTGTGTACATAAACATACATTCATATTATATGCTTTGTTGTCTGTCATGAAAAAAGTAGTATTTCACATGTCCAGAAGCTGTAAAAACCAAGCCTAATGATAAATTTAATTTGCTTAATCCCTACAGTCAATTTACCTTTCACGTTTGGGGGAGGGTATGGGTGGTGGGAGAATACATGTTTGTATGCCAAGGCTGTGGATCTGCTGCAATTAGATGCCCATATTCTGCTACCATGTGGATATAAGGAAAAGTGAAAGGAACAGGCAAATGGAACTCGGGAAACACTGAGGACTATGGTGGGAACCAGTACATGTGATCTAATACCAAAGGCAGTACAGAGCACTGGCATTGTTTGAGTCATAATAAGACCCAGGAACAGACACGAGGCACACTGAAGAGTTAGGTCAGCTTCTTTGGTGTCCTCACTCTTCCACCCTGCTACGCTTTCCTCCCTTCTCATAGCAATCTAATCAAGTCTATCGTGCTTTTAGCTTTTCAGGGACCCTTACTTGTCATCTGGAGTTGTCTCCTTTTGTTTTCCATTCTCCTTTCTCATGTCTCCATGAACCTATCCTTGTCTTGCTTAAGCCTGTATGATACTCAGTTTATCAATTTTCCATAACATCCCATAAATATCTCAATTTTAGGAATTATTTCATAGTGCCTAAATTATTTGTATATATGCAACTATCCTCTCAACAAGATTTATATCTTTTTCCTCACCTTAATGAATCATTGGTTAGCTATGGTGATAATGACTGTTAAAAATATATAAAAGACTATATACAATACATATACATATGTAAATGTCTATGTCTATGTATATGTATGTATGTGTGTGTGTATTCATTATTTGCATAAAAGCAGTACATTTTTAAGGATAATGTATAAGTCAAAGAACACATCTGTTTTCACTGGTGTATCAATGGAAATGTTGCAAGGATGCATCTCTTAAGAGACTGAGTAATTCAAAACTCATATAATTTAAGACTAATCCTGGTACATTTTTCTGTAGACCAGCTACCATGACTCTGTTTTGTGCCAATAGCATAAACATGTTGTGCTACTAGTTTTGAAAAAACACAATTGTTTATTTTACAAGAGTTTATTTAAATATTTTAAAGAAGACTTCATTAGTATTTTATAATATGCATTAATGAAATTTTAAAAATTAAAATTTTTATAAAAGGCTATTGATGGTCTAGATTTTTACTCAGCAGGACATTTCTGTTTTCTCTCAAATTAGGTGAAACCATCAAGAAACACCATGTAAATATGAACATAATATGTGATATGTGCCATTTTTAATACAATATCTCAAATGACTAAATCAATTTGACTATTTGCATATATAGTAATCTTCTAAGTCAAAGAATTAAATATGCACAGATTATATGTAAGACAACAGTTTGGTCCTTCCTATAGGTATCTTTGGAGGTGATTAAAGTAATTGAGAACATGTAATTTATTAAGCATTCATGTTTATTATTAAATAAAAATCTTCAAAAGTTAATTTGAAGATCTAATTGGCTTTATTAGTGAGTCATGAATTGGACAGCATCTCATCTAAGCAAGTAGCAAGATGGTCTGAGGAACTGTAAAAAATGGATGGTTTTTATAGGAAGGAGGGTAGGGCAAGAAGTTATTGGCAAAAGAAAAGAAAGGATTGCTTTAGGCAAGGTCACCCTTTTGTAGAGAGAGGATCAGGGGATCTAATCCTGTAGACTACCTCATCTTTTGGAGGCTGGAGAGGACTATGTAGGAGATTACCTCATTGGTGCTGCCCAGAATATTCCTGACTGACTGTAAAGACTACATTCTGGGAAGGTTGAGACTGCACTTGGGATAAAGCAGTAAGCTCCAGTGCGGTGACCTGGCCTAGCAGAAGTGACTCCATGTTGGGCCTGTGGTTTTCTTTTTATGAAACATTTCATGAAGAAACAACATAAATGTGTAGTCTGTCCTTATTCTTTAAATGGTTGTCATGTATGAAAATAATCTATATTCCTAAATTTTATTTCACTTTCACAGATTGATCTTAGCTTTTGAGATTTTAGTTAACTAGAACCTCGATTCAAAGCCTATGGGAATTTTAATAAAGAGTTGATCTTCATAAGAAAATTCACTCTTATTAGACCTTCTCTTTAAACTAAGCCATGTACACATAAAATACTTATTTTGATATGAAATAATTAGACAATTACTTTAAGTATAACACTTTTTTATCATGGCTGAAACTACCACCAAGGAAGTACAGAAATTATTTGGACAAAAGTTAAAGCAGGTTCCACATCTAAAATCCTTCCTGGAAATAAATATAGCAAGGTACTTTCTGTTGGCTGTTTCTTAGAAAGACAGCAATAACTGTGTGGAGAAAGAAGAGAAGCTGAAGATTTCATCAAGACCTCAAGATCCCTTGATTCTATTGTAATAAAAAGTACCCAAAGACTTAGTGGTTAAGAAGGCCAACTCTGCTATGGTCCTGACCTTAGTAATGTTTAATCTACCTTTTCCTTACCATATGACCTTGGGAGAACTATAACTCTCTACCTCAGTTTCCTCGTCTGTGAAATGAGGTAAATAATTACTTTTCCTTTATGGCTTCCATTAGCATTATTAAAAGATGTGTAATTTTTAATATGCCTCAATCTATCTTTTAATAATGGCAGTTGTAGCAAAAATGGATTGCAGTCATAATGCCCATCCAGAAGTGATTAGGAGTGCCTTGCTGTCAGGAGCCTGGGGAAAGACTTAACATAGAAACAGTGCTGATGCAAAGGAAGGAAGACAAAATGCTGAAGCCAAGAAAGGACTGGCTGCAACTTAAAGTCAAGTTGGCTATTGGTGATTAGTTTTCCTTAGCATTCTGATTTTGTTACTTGGAGGTATTTCCAGGCTTAGATTTTGGTTTGCATAATCAGGCCACCACAGCATTAGAGCCAAATCAGCCTAATGGGCACCTTGTTTAATTAATCTAACAGCATTAAATCATTTAATTAATAAAGCACTTTTTAAAAAGTATATGGTGCATATAAATACTCAATGAATATAATTTGTAATTATTACTACCAGGCTTGGTTAGAAGTATGTGTTTGATTTATTCCATGCCTTAACAAAGACAACCAAAGCAGCTTAATTATGGCAACCTAGTTAATAACCACTTCCTCCCTATTAGAAACCCTTCTATTTTACTGTTTGTTTTTCTATTCAGTGTTGCCTTGTGTGGAATAGTACATCGGTAATTATATAGGAATAACATAGGTAATTGTATTTGGTATGGCATAAGGTAAGATTGCATTGTCTCAGGCCTAAAATCTGTAGTCGAGGCCCTGACCTGATCGTGTCCAATTTTCCCTATTTTAGGTGGACTTCTAAAATACCTTTTAAGTCAGAAACAAGAGAAGGACTCCCTGGCAAATGGCAGCTTTTATTTGTTTTTTACTTGAGGAGCTTTCCTTTTGGGTGATAAAGGGAAGGAAGAGGTTTCTACCAGTATTCTTATCTACTCAAAGAATTCATCAAGTTACAGAAGGAGTCAGTTCCTCCTACATTTGCATTAAAAAAACAATGTCAGTAGAGGACCAGATGCTATTTAACATAAATAGATGAAATTTTAGTTATACAGTCATCTCTACATCCAAGTAAAGGCAGATCTGAACTTTATTACTCAGATCTGATTAATTTCTCCTCTGCAACAATTTGTGAGAGCAGCACAAGAAAGAACAAGCAATTATTTTTCAAAATCTATATACATTAAAAAATTATAATTTAGTAAACAATATTAATAGTTCTTTCTTATTTTTTAGATTAACAGTGTTTGAAAGAGGACATTGTTGTCATCATGAATGCTAATAAAGATAAGAGACCAAAGTCCAGAAGCCATGTTGTTCACCTTTTTCATGCCTTGATGATGCTAAGTATGACCGTCCTGTTTATTCCAGTCACTGGAACTTACAAGCAAAATATCCCACGGCTCAAGCTAACTTACAAAGGTAAATGTATAAATGTTTTCAGATTGTCTTTTGATTACTGTATTTCTTTTTTTTCAGAAATGCATGCTGACTTCAGTGAAATATTTATAATATTGGCATCAGTTAATAAAAATATTATTATAGAACACAAAGCCCAATTATTTATTATTTTTGTGAGAATAGATACCCAAACTGTTCATGTACACTTTTCAGCCCATTATTTACAATGATCAATTACTGATTAGTATAATAAGGAAATTTTGGCCTGTAAATTATAATCACTTTTGTATTAAAACAAATCAATCCACAAAAATAGAAAAACATTAATTCCATAAAGCTGCTACAAATTAGTTTATGCCTAGGTAGAGACGATGCTTTTTTATGCACAGTAAGATATCTTCAAAAAAGAATAAGTACACTAAAACACCATTATGACATTAAGCATAAACATTTTATTAAAAAAGAAAGAATAGATAAAAAACTAAAAAAAGTGTACTCTGTTTTTAACTTTAATATGAGAGCAAAGTTTATATGAGTTATAATTAATCGTCTTGTGTGTATATGTGTATACATATGTGTGTATGTGTAAATAGATAGGGAAAGAAAGAATATTACAAGTTTCATGCTCAAAGATTTATTTCTTTTGTTTTCTTTAATATACTTTGTTTTGTTTAATACCTTAGATAATGAAACGAATGTAAGGAACTCAGACTTCTTTATTCTGACCTTGGCAGGTAAAAATTAGGCTGGCAGTTTTAATATCCTCAGATATTTCAGACAATATTTCCAGCTCAAATTAAGTATAAGAAAAGCAAATTTGATGTCACATGTAAGTAGAAGTGGAATTAGCATATTATACCCATTGTGAGATAAATTCTTACCGAAATAAGCAGGCAACGAGAGGCAACAAAGGGCCAGGCAGTTCATTTGAGTGCAATCCCTGGTGATGTTCCCCCGTCTGGCTAGTTACAGGCCAGGGAAACCGTGCGCAACTAGACAGGCGGGGAGTTTTTAAAGAAGGTAGGGGGAGGCAGAGCTTAGATTTACAGTGGCGGGAGGATTGGCTAGCCTAAGGTACATTTTTCAGTTTGGGAGGGGGAACAGCTGGGAACTTTGACACGTCATCAGTGTCCGACCTGGGAGAGGGCAGCAGCTGGGGACTTCGGCACGTCATCAGTGTCCGACGTACTCACCCCTCCCTCCGGTGCCTCCAACCTTAGACCCATTACACATTACATATGTTCATATTTGTTTGGAATTTATATCTCATGAATTGAAGAATTAAGGCAACATGTTTTGAGTTTCAATTTTCTAGAACAGATAAAAACAATCTAAAGTTAAAAAAAATCAAAGTATTGCCTTTGCACAGTTGAGGGGAGGATTGACTGGGAAGGGTTATGAGAGGTAACTTTCTGGGATTATGGAAATGTACTCAATCCTGATAGGGATGTGGATCACCCAAGTGTATGAATTTTTCACTACCCATCATATTGCAGGTAAGATTTGTTTATTTGCCTGTATTCAAAATTATCATAAGAAAATAGAAAACATATATTAAAAGCCAAACAATACAAAGAGATAGAGAAAATTTGAAAATGAAAAGGCTGAAAAAAAAAAGGAAACTTTATCTGGTTTCTATGATAGAGTGAAAAACAAGAGCATTGACTTGCTCTATGTGAACAATGCAAAACAAATCCAACTTGAAAAGAAACTTTTATAGTTGTTAGTCACTGAGGGTTCCTTATGGTAAAAACAGTGGTCTTCTGTGTGAATTGACATTTTCTCCTCCCCTTTCTTTATATGAAGATACTGAAGTACTGAGAAACTGAGGAATTTCCAAGATCTTAAATTAATTCCTAGCTCAGCTCCGGAGTCAGCCTCATGCTGCATAGAGCCTGGGTACCTAATCTTATTTCTCAGACCTTAGACATAGTAGTTCTTTCCTTATGGTGCTTATCTACCACAGTGAACTTTAAAGTTTACAGAAGCATCATGATGATACTTGACTAACTGAATATGTGATTTTCAATTGCCAAAATTAAATAGGCTTGAACAAGGGTACATGCTCTATTTAAGATCATTGGGTAAGCAAAAGAGATTTGCAGTCTTGTGGGATTTTTATGCCTTTTGGATAAATTTATGTGATAGTTTGTGTTCATAATACAAATTTCATACAAGAGATTATAATATGCTAACTCAGACGTGGAAAATTGGTCATCTGAAATAACAAATCAATCCCCAGAAAGAGAAAAACATTAATTCCATGTAGCTGCTCCTGATTAGTATATTTTTAGTTAGAGGGCATGTGTGTGTGTGAGAGAGAGAGAGAGAGAGAATGTATGGTTTTGGACTTGGAATCAACTCTATCAGAGTATAAAATCTTGTTTTATTTATCTTTCCATAGATTGTCACTCTTCTTAGCACCTAGTGTTAATATAAAAGGAGAACTGGCATATAAGTGTTGGATTAAATAATAATTTAGTAAGAACTATTCTTTTGATGGTTCTTACATTCAGTATACTCTCCAAATGTTATACTTTTAGGTTTTTATTAAATGTTGGTAGGTTATCTATATGTCAAAGACTGGTAAGCATTAGCAAATACTGAATGCAAGGTATTATAGCAATCTCCCATTCCACCCTCCCCTAGATACACACACACACACACACACACACACACACACACACACACACTCACACACTCACCATCTCCCCATGGCTGCTATTCGCCATTCATTTCCAGATTGTATGCTAATAATAGAGCAACTTTAGAAATATTCTGTTCAGCACTATGAATATGCCATCCACTAACAAGAATTTCCCTGTTTTCCCTGTCCACCTCTTCTATACCATATCTGATAGTTTAGAAGGAAAAGTCCAATCTTCACATTATACTTTAAAAAAGTGACCTATTTCTGAATAAAGTTATGACATAACAAATTACTGCTAATTTGGAGATGTGGTGAGGAAATTTTTTGTATACCACATTGCTACCTCCGAGATAATGACCATGACTCTACTTGGGCTTCTTTCTCTTGCTACCTGACTGATGAGTTGAGATTGGTTAGTACCACTCATTGCTTCTATAGTTTTCAGAGAACCTGACAGTTCATACTTGAGCACTAAAGCACAGCCAGAAGATGAGGTTAGAATAAGAAGCCAAAATGAAAAATTAATTTTGTTTTCAATAGTAGTTAATTTCTATAGGCACAAAATCAGCTTTGCTTTCTTGGCTTTCCATAATTCATGCTCTCTTAGGTGCTGACCAGAGACGCAGCCAGCATCAATAGAGTTAGCTACTTCGAACAGCTGCAAGATTGTTCTGAGGGATTTCTGAAAGGCCAACAGAAATATAATAACCATTTTATCCAAAGAATGCTCTTTGATAAAGACTTAGCTTTGAACCTCTGAATCCACAAGAGCTTGTTTGGTTCTATTTTTGGGTAAAAAGATTTCCCTTCAGTTGTGTGTTTTGAAATTGTATACACAGTTATGCTTACTAAATTTGTTTTTTGAGTAACAAGGGGAAAGAACCTTGGAGATCAGGATGTTCTATATTTCTGAATTTTGTGTTACAAGGTTATTTTATATATTTTTCTCTAACAGGTAGGGCTTCTCACAGTGACTTTTACAGTTTATACTGCAGATGGAGTAAAAATAATTTTTTAGAGATCACCTACTTTAATCTTGTAACAATTTAAACATTCTCTATCTCATGATCATCATGAAGGAACTCACAGGGGTTAAGGATATTTATATCCAGGAATCATTAGTATCTGCAATGTTATTTGTTTGGAAAACTCCAGAAAATGAGATGGGAAACATAGCTAAAGAGAGATTGGACAAGAACTTTAGAAAAGGAAGGAAAAATGAAAATTAACCAGAATACAAAGATTCATCCCTTACAATAAATTATAGTTTCTTTCATCTTTTTTTGCATATTCTCTTTAACCTTTCATTTTCCTTTGCTATTTTATTTTATTTTTTCCTTTGATATTTTTAGATTTTACTATTAACTTACATTTGGATGGCTTATGATATACATTATATATATATGTGTGTGTGTGTGTGTGTGTGTGTGGTCTGTTTTCTTACTACATCCTTTTGAGTCTGGCACAACAAAAATTCAGCTACCAATTCCATTTGAATATTTTCCCAACAAAACCTCTTGCTATCTCAAAGAATCACAATAATCCTGCAAATTCCCAGCTATTCAACATTGAATCCACGCATATTAAGACCAGGAAGGAAACTAACCCAAGTAATAGTTACCATATATTTACACATTCTGCAAATATTTTATTGAGAAACTACTATGTACTGGTACTGTCCTAGGTCAAAGAAAAGTCACTCTCCCCTTTGAATTTTTTTCAGATGGAGACAGACAATGAACAGATAAGCAAACATTAATATAATTTCAAACGGTGGGAAGTGCTATGAAGGGTATAAAGCAAGAGAGAGACTGGGTCCGAGTTTCCTACTTAGACTTTAATGTGTCTGTTTTACGACACACTGAAAATCATTGTTGTGATACCCATTTTATAGATAAGAATCATGAAGTTCAGAGCCTGAAGGCCTTGCCCCAAAGCAAAAAGCTATTAAGTGACAGAACTAAGTTACATGTTTTTATCTGTCTAGTTCAGGACCCATGCTCTTGCCTCCTTTTGCCCTTGAGAGAAACATATATTTAGGGACACAAATACCAATTACTTTTTGGCAGTATGCTGTTTTCAATAAGTATCAATAGTACTGATTATATTTTGCTCTTCTGTAACTTATATGTATTTTCATATAAGAAACTTGAAGAAATCACCTTTAAAATATTTATCTATTGTTCTGTAATTAAACATTAATGTATTTGATAGAGTGATTCTTTGTTTTGTTGTGATTTTCTGAGAAATCAGTGGATAAGTCTACATATTTTTCTTTATTTACAAACTACCCTCTTTAGCAATGAAATGTGGCTTGTGTCTCAGAGATACATGGCTGTTTGACTCATCTAAATTATTTGATTTGACTAAT